CCAGCTGGGGTCGCCAGACACCCTGTGTCCGCACCAGGCGGTGCCCGCGGGTTGGGGCGCCCCCGGCAGCTCGGCTCAGGGGCTCCGGCCCTCCCAGGGGAGCACGCGCCCCAGGCCTCGGGACCCGAGCCGGGCAGCGACCCAGGGCGCAGTCTGGAGTCTGGTGACACCGCCACAGGTCCCAGGGTCCCCGACAGGCCTGGGAGGGGGCAGTCCGGAGCAGGCCCATGCTGAGGTCCACGTTGGACTGACCTGCAGCCTGGACCCCACCTCAGGTCGAGGGGACTCAGGTCAGGGACCTGACCCAGCACACAGCGTGTGCGGTACCCCCGGCGGGGGCCCTCATAATCTGTTGCAGTGGGGTGCAGGGGGCAGGTTGCCGAGCCATTTGATAAAGCATAAAGTACAACTACTGGTCCCGCAGCCCAAGAGGCTGAGGCGGGAGGATGGCAAGTCCTACCTGGGCAGCTTGGCGAGACACTGTCCCTTGTAAAGAACAGAGAGGTCAGGGGCTGTGACTCCGTGGTGGACAGGGAAGGAGGGAGGATGGAAGGAAGGAGGGAGCGCAGGAGGGTGAGCTGCACACCCAGACAGGCACTGGCGCTGCCAGGGCAGATGGGCGGGTGGCCACAGCCCATCGGCATGGAGCAGGGGAGCAAGGGCCGGGCTGCAGCAGCCCGCTCCAACCTCGGGCCACAGGACCTTGCCTCTGCCTCCGGGCGGCCTCTCCTCCCACTCTGCAACCTGAGTGCGCTGGGCACTGACGGTCCCTCTTGGAGGCCTGGGATGAGGTCCCCGCCTGTCCTCCACACAATCCTGCCTGTCTGGTCTGTCGAGCTCCAGCAGGACACGGGACACACACAGTCCTGCCCTGGGGGAGCCAAGGCCAAGGAGGTCACACGGAGCCAGGGAACAAGACCTGGAAGAGAGGGCCCGTGAGACCCGGGGAGTCGGGCCCCATGGGGTGCTGGTGGGAAGTGCTGGGAGCCTTGGCCCCAGCCCCGCGGGTGGGGGCTGCCCACGGTGGCCCAAGGCCCTGGATCTGGGCTATGGGCGGGGGCTGGGAGACACAGTGACGTCCGAGTCAGGCTGCCAGGCACCTGCTGGGGTGACAGGGTCTGGAAGTATGCAGGTCAGGAGCGTCACCTTGGCCACCCTCCCTCCCGCCGCTGGCTCATCCTGCAAGTGACAGCACAGTGACCGCTGAGAGAGGAATGTGAGTCTGCAGCTGGCAGAGCAGCGATTCAGCCCAGGTGTTAGGGCCCTTGGGCCAGGCCAGCCCTGCAGGTGGCTGCCGCCATCACCCGAGATGACTTGGCCAGCGCCAAGGAACAGAGCTGGTTTCTGGTCAGCTGGGAAGGTGTGGCCCGAGAGGAGGGGAGGCCCTTGGGCCGCAGTAGGGGACCTCACAGAGGGCAGGCAGGCTGAGGACGGGAAGAGAGCTGGGTGGTGGGCGTCAGGACAGGGGGGCCCTGCCGTGGCATGTGCCCAGCCCCCCAGCCCAGGTCCAGAGATGCTGTGGTACTAACCAGCCCCTCCGCAACACCATTAATGTCACCAGTGCTGTCGCAGAGCTGGGTGGTCCCACAGCCTTCTTACAGAGAAATCACTGAGGCCCAGTGAGGTTTGACAGCTGGCCCCGGGTGACGCCCAATGTAGCTGAGACCCACTCCCAGCTCCTGACCTGGGCGGGAAAGGGGAGCTCACAGCTGGGGAGCCCTGGCAGCCTTGGGGTCCAAATAAAATACATGAAGCTCAGATAAGTTTAAATCTCAACTGAATGACAAAGAATCTGGGTCCACTCACCAACCCGTCTATATTTTGGGGGAGCATGGGGGGGACCCAGCCCTTGAGCAATGCCCCACCCCTATAGAGCACAGCCCAGGTCCTCCGACCTGGAGCCCACAGGTGCCTGGTCATGGTGCTGTGGCCCGCACCGTGCCCCTGCCACCCCTGCAGGAAGGGGCCCAGGAGCCTCTTGGACTGTGGTGCTGAGCGAGCCCCTCCTCAGCCTGCGTGTGGCAGCCTTGGGAACCTGTGCTGCTGCTGCCTGCTGTGAAGGCGTTGGGGGAGGCAGGCAACCCCTGGACCTGACCTCCAGGAATGCTGCAGCGTCCCCTTGGCCTGGCAGCAGCCCTGCATGCCTTTCCCTCAGTCACATGCGCTGGGTGGTCACACCCTGTCCCCGTCCCCCTGGCCCAGATGCCCCTGCCACCCTGTGCGCCTGCAGCAGCTTTATTGAGATATTACCTCACCTACGATGCCGTTCACCCACTTAAACTGTAGAGTGACTTCTGGTATATTATTACATTTTTAAGTTGTGGTAAAGTATGCATAAAAATACTCGGTTGGGGGAGATGGCACATTTGAAATGCCAGCCTTCTGGGAGGCTGAGGCAGGAGGATCACAAGTTGGAGCCCAGCCTGAGCAACTTAGCAGTTTGCCAAGATTCTGCTTAAAAATGTAAAATAAAAACCCTGGAGTTGCAGCTCAGTGCAGAGGCCCTGAATCTGATCTCAGTACCACAGAAACAAATGGAACATAAAACTGGCACCCTAACCGCTTTGTAAAAATTTATTATCTATTTATTTATTTTTGTCTTTTTTTTTTTCTTTTTGAGACGAGTTCTCACTATGCAGTTCAGGCTGGCCCTGAACTCACTATATAGCCCAGGCTGACCTCGAACTCACAACAATCTTCCTGCCTCAGCCTCCTGAGTGCTGGGATGACTGGTGTGTGCCACTATGCCCGGATCTGACCGTTGTTAAGTGGTTAGTTCACTGGCATTGTTTTACCCTGTAGGCGGCCATTACCATTACCTACTTCCGAAACTATAACCCAACCCAGCCAGCTGGCGCGGTGACCCCCTCCTGCCTGCAGGGCTCAGCCTGTGACTGCCGAGTCCGGGGGGATTCGGGGCATTCGTTTGGGGTCTTGCTTCTTGCACTTTGCACAGCACTTCCCAGGGTCCAGTACTGCTGCTCCATTGCCCTCCCCAAAGCCCGGGTGCAGCTGGCTGTGTAAATGCACACCACGTCTCGGTTATCTGTCCTGCCACGGGGGACACTCTGTAGCCCCACCTCCTGGCTGACCACCCTCGCAGTTTCCCCCGCCTGCTCTGGAGGGGCCGTGCAGGTGAGCCCCGAGCACCTGTGCAGGGCAGCGGGAGGGAGCAGCTTCCCTGCTTGGCCAGCAGGTCCCGCGCGTTGCCACTGGCCTGGGAGAGCTGGGCCCTTGCTGTCCAGCAGCATGGTCCCTGCATGCAGCCGCTATCCCTTGGGGTGGGGCTAGGCTGGGCAGGAGTGGGGATGGGGTGCGGCCCCGTGCTGTCTCAGCGCCTGTTTGCCGAAGGGGGAGCTCAGACCCGCGGTGACTCACTCACCTCCATTTCCGGCCTCTCATTCCTGGGCCTCCCCACGTGGGCATTGTGGCAGGGGTGGCCCAGTGTGCGTGGGCAGTTTGCAGAGCCTGGGTCATACCACTGCCTAGCCTTGCCCCCCTACTGCCAGGGGCAGAGGGGCTCCACCTCCCCGAGCCTGAGGGCAGCATCAGGGTCCTGGTCCCAGCAGTGACGACAGACTCCGGAGGGATGCAGTTCTGCTTCTGCCCCTGAGATTCTGATTGTGTCCATTATCACAGCCACAATCTAAAATACTCCGTGCCAGGCATGGTGGCACACACTTGTGATCCCAGCACTTGGGAGGCTGAGGCAGGAGAATTGAAAGTTCCAGGCCAGCCTCAGGTAGAGTGAGACCCTATCTCAGAAACAAAGCAAAAACAGGAGCTTTATTCTATAATTTTTATTTATTTTTTTTATTTTTATGTTTTGTATTTTTGAGACAGGGTCTCGCTATGCAGTTCAGGCTGGCCTTGAGCTCACTTTGTAGCCTAGACTGGTCTCGAGCTCACAACAATCCTCCTGTCTCAGCCTCCCAAGTGCTAGGATTAGAGGCGTGCGCCACCACGCCCGGCTTTTTTTTTTGTCTTTTTGAGACAGGGTCTCGCTATGCAGTTCAGGCTGGTCCTGAACTCATTTTGTAGCCCAAGTTGGTCTTGAACTCGGAATGATCCTCCTGCCTCAGCCTCCCGAGTGCTGTGATTACAGGCATGCGCCACCATGCCTGGCTACAACTTCTTGATGAAAGGAAAAAGCGCTGTTGGTGGTGAAGGAAGGAGAGTTCCTGTTTGAGGACAAACTGAGGAAGCCTTCTTGGAGGAGGCAGGGGTGAGATGTCTCTGAGGGACTCAGCTGGGAGAGAAGAGGTGGACCCTGCACAGGTGGTGAAGGGCAGTGGTGAAGGCCGGGCTTTAGATACAATTTCTTGGATCAGAGCTTGCAGTTGGACAAGCAGGGGCCTCAGGGCCAAACCCAGGATTGGAGGGTTTAAGCAGAGGGAGGCAGAGGCTTGTTGGGTTCTGTTTGGCCCACGCAGTGGTTCTGGTTGCTTTTCAGTTTGACTCAGTTGCCAACATTTGAAAACGTGGCAGTGCACACAGGTCCTGACTCCTGTGCTCTAGGAGCATGGGCCCACCCGCCTGTGCCCCGTGGCCCCTGTCCTCTGGCTTGGAACCCTGATTGGACTCCTGCTGGGCTGGCCCAGCCTCTCGGCCCAATGTGGAGGCCTCTGCACCCTCAGTTCTTGCTGGGCCAGGGCTGGGTGCTCGGGACAGAGGAGAGAGTCAATGCACACAGTCTAGAGCTTATGTTCTGTGTGTCCCACTGCCCACTGCCCAGGCTTGTGCCCTGTAGTGGCCCGGGGAGCCAGGGGTCAGCCAGGCAGGGCAGCCCTGCCGTCCGTGGCCGGCGACCCTGGAGACAGAGGCCACCGCTGTCCTTGCTCGGCTTTGAGAAAGCGAAGGCCGGGAGCTGGGGTTGCAGCAAGGAGGTGCAGGCTGGATGGAGACAGCTGGCGCCTGGGCAGCCCTGCGGGGACCCGCGTCCCGGCTGCCAGGTCGGCAGGGCCCTGATACCCCTCCCCACAGGCCTCACGGAGGACGAGGACGTGCTGGCCATGCTGCGGGGCTCACGGCTGCGCAAGATCCGCTCACGCACCTGGCAGAAGGAGCGGCTGTACCGGCTGCAGGAGGACGGGCTCAGCGTGTGGTTCCAGCGGCGCATCTCGCGCGCCCCTTCCCGGCACCTCTGTGAGCAGCAGGGGCGGGGTCGGAGGGTCGGGTCGAGCCCGGGGTCAGCCTTAACCCCCAACCCCCCGCAGTCTTCGTGCAGCACATAGAGGCCGTGCGCCAGGGCCACCAGTCCGAGGGCCTGCGGCGCTTTGCGGCAGCCTTCCCACCCGCGCTCTGCCTGACCATTGCTTTCCGCGGCCACCGCAAGAACCTGGACCTGGTGGCGCACTCAGCAGAGGAGGCACAGCGCTGGGCACGGGGCCTGGACAAGCTGCGGGCACGGCTGGAGGCCATGAGCCAGCGCGAGCTCCTGGACCAATATCCTTCCAGGCGGGGGCGGGACACGCCTGTCACGTCCTGACTGTGCCGTGCTGTGGGTTGGGGTGGGCCCATATCATCCGGTCCCTTCCTGAACACCTGCACCTGGATCCACTCCTACCTGCACCGGGCAGACTCCGACCAGGACAGCAAGATGAGCTTCAAGGAGGTCAAGGGCCTCCTACGCATGGTCAACGTGGACATGAACGACATGTACGCCTACCGCCTCTTCAAGGTGAGCCTCGGCACCCCCACCCCGCAGTCTGCAGGTGCCCCTGGGCAGAAGGCCACACCGGCCTGGTGAACTTTCCTCCAGAGGCCCTGGCCAGGGAAGGACACACCCTGCCGAGCAGGACCCTCCTGCACCCGAGTGGCCCTATCCCACGTCGTATATGCGCTCTAGGACCCAGCGCAGGCCGGCTGGGGACACGGTAGACTGTGTGGACCCTGAGTGCGTGACCAGTGTGAGCCTGAGCCACAGGAGGCCTGGCTGTGCACAGGTGTGAGCTCTTGCTCACTGCTTCTTGGCCAGGTGTGAACGTGTGATGAGGATGGTCACTGTGCACGTGAGCTGCACTGTGGCATGCGTGGAGCTCAGACCTGCCCAGGTCAGCGTGTCCCACCTGCCTCTGGGTTCTCAGGTGGGACTTCGGCGCTGGGCCCGTGAGATCTCCCAGAATCCTAGCCCTGCATTCACTGCTAACCGGGGTGGGTGTGAGGGTAGCCAGCTTCGATGGGTCCTGGGGTGTCAGTGGAGCCGGTCTCCCGGGGCATCCCCCTTGTGTCTCCCTGCACCCCAGGAGTGTGACCGGTCCAATGACGAGCGGCTGGAGGAAGCTGAGATTGAGGAGTTTGTGCGGCAGCTGCTGAAGCGCCCGGAGCTGGAGGAGCTCTTCCGCAGGTTCTCGGGCGAGGACCTTGTGCTGAGCGCCCCTGAGCTGCTGGACTTCCTGGAGGCGCAGGGCGAGGCGGGCGCCACGCTGGCCCACGCGAAGCGGCTCATCCAGACCTACGAGCTCCACGAGACAGGTGGGTGGGCACGGGAAGGCGGTTCTGCCTCCAGGTGTGTTCCAAGGCTCGGTGAGCCTCGCAGGGCCCTTGGGCTGGGCAGGGCCACTGGGCCCACATCCTCTCTGGCCCTCCCCCTAGCCAAGCGCCATGAGCTGATGACCCTGGATGGCTTCATGATGTACCTGCTGTCACCGGAGGGGGCCGCCCTGGACCCCGCACACGCCGCTGTGTTCCAGGACATGGGCCAGCCCCTCGCACACTACTTCATCTCCTCCTCTCACAACACCTACCTGACGGACTCTCAGATCGGCGGCCTCAGCAGCACCGAGGCCTATGTCAGGTACCGTGCCCAGGAGGGACAGGAGTGCTGGCCCAGCCTGCCCACTCTGCGCCCGACACCTCACCCGCCCCTCTCTCCGCCTGTCCACGCACAGGGCCTTTGCCCAGGGCTGCCGCTGCGTGGAGCTGGACTGCTGGGAGGGTCCGGGTGGTGAGCCTGTCATCTACCACGGCCACACGCTCACCTCCAAGATCCTCTTCCGGGATGTGGTCCAGGCCGTGCGTGACCACGCCTTCACGGTGAGCCCAGCCCACCCGTAGCCAGCTCTGGTCCTCACTGGATGCCTGACCCCCAGGGCAGCCCTCCTGACCCAGGTGCTGCAGGGAATAGGGCAGCGGGGCAGAGCAGGCGAAGGTGACCTCTTCCTGCCTCCCACGGGTGGGGAAGGGAATGTTAACCTTGAGAGCGCCGTGTGGCATGTGTCCGTGCAGGTGTAAGGATGGCACCACCCCCCAGTGATCGTGGGGCGGTTGCAATGTAGCCAACACAGTCCACATCATTAACACAGACAGAGCATTGCTAGCTAGGCACAGCGGCACAGCCTGTAATCCCAGTTCCTGGAGAGGCTGAGGCAGGAGGGTTGCAACTTCAAGGCCAGTCTGGGCAACTTACCAAGACCTTGTCTCAAAAATTTAAAGAGTAAATAAAAGGGCCCAGGGATGCATCTTGGTTCAAGGCCTTCGGTTCAATCCCCAGCACCGTGAATAAATAAGACCACCCCGAAGTACCTGTGTCCCTCCCCCATGAGGTCCGCCCTCCTGGGGCTCTGTGGGCTGGGGCCATCTGTCCTGAGTGCTGCTTCACCCCACAGCTGTCCCCCTACCCTGTCATCCTGTCCCTGGAGAACCACTGCGGGCTGGAGCAGCAGGCCGTCATGGCTCGTCACCTGCGGACCATCCTGGGGGACATGCTGGTGACAGAGGCGCTGGGCACCCAGGACCCTGAGGTGCTGCCATCTCCAGAGGTGACACTCCCTGGTGCCTGGGGACAAGGGTCGGGGCTGCCCGTCTGTCCCTCAGTGTCCCTGGCCCTCCATCCCACGAGTGCCCCTCTGACCTGGCACTGGAGGCCTCCGAGGACCTGCAGGCACATCCAGGGCCTTCTAAGGCCTGGGGACCCTCTCCCCCTGCTGAGGCTCCTCCCACCCCCTCTCCGTCTCTCGGGTGGTTGAATGACTGACAGACTGGTGGCTGCGGAGGGGAGGAGGCTCCACCTGTCCCTGTCACCTCCACAGCAGCTGAAGGGCCGGGTGCTGGTGAAGGGGAAGAAGCTGCCAGGCGCACAGGCCAAGGATGGTCATGTTCTGTCGGACAGGGAAGAGCAGGAGGAGGAGGAGGATGGGCAGGCTGTGGGGGCTGCACGGCAGGGGACACCCGCAGAGGCCAGGCCCCAGGCCGGCCAGATCGCCCCTGAGCTGTCAGCCCTGGCTGTGTACTGCTGTGCCACCCGTCTGCAGACCCTGCAGCCCGGCCCTGGCCCAATCCGGCCCTGCCAGGTCAGCTCCCTCAGTGAACGCAAAGCCCGGAAGCTGCTGCGGGAGGCAGGTGGGAGCCGGTGCCGGGTGCAGTGGGCACAAGGAGGTGGTGGGGGACCCCGTGAAGGGACGGGGTGGGTGAGGGAGCCTGGCCAGGAGCCCAGCTGGAGGGCACGTCCGGGAGGGCTTCCTGGAGGAGGGCGAGGGAAGCAGCTAGTGGAAGGAGGGCCGGGGTCCTCCACTAGAGGAACAGGTCCTGTGGGCCTGTTCGACCTTTGTGAGGGGAACAGGGTGTGGGACCTGGGGCTGTGCAGAGGTGCCCTGCCTCTCGCGGGACCCCAGCAGCCTCCACGGTGAGTCCCCTCAGCCTCTCCCCAGGAGGCTACTGCTCCATCCCAGTCCTACCCAACTCTGCCCAGGGAATAGCTTTGTCCGGCACAACACCCGCCAGTTGACCCGCGTGTACCCGCTGGGGCTGCGCATGAACTCCACCAACTACAGCCCCCAGGAGATGTGGAACGCGGGCTGTCAGCTGGGTGAGACTCGGCTGGGCTGGGCTGGGCTGGGGCGGCCTGGGGGGGTCGGACAACCACGTGGCCTCCCGAGGGGGAAGACGCCTCTATTGCTGACATCTCCAAAGCTCCCCCCGCAGTGGGGAGTAAGCCCAGGCTAGTTGGCCACTGACAGTCCACTCTTCTGTGAAGGTCGGCGACACCCGCACCAGCCCTCCAGGTGCTGAGCAGGGTGCCCTCTGAGCCAGCAGGCTGGCAGGTGGGGCCCAGCCCCAGGGGCTTTTGCACTGCCCCTGCCCACCCACCCTGCAGCCTGGGGGTCAGCAGGGAGAAGGTTCAGGTGAAGCCGGCCAGGGCCCTCAGGGCATGGCCAGGTGCTGTCCCACACGCTGATGCTCAGATGAGCTGCAGCGACAGGCCACCAACAGTCCCTGCTTGGCCCTGCTGCCCACAGTGGCCCTGAACTTCCAGACACCAGGCTACGAGATGGACCTCAACGCGGGCCGCTTCCTGGTCAATGGGCGGTGTGGCTACGTCCTGAAGCCCAGCTGCCTGCGACAGCTGGGCACGGCATTTGACCCGGCATGCCCTGGGCCCCCCAGCACCACACTGACGGTCCAGGTTGGCAGGGTTCTGGGCTGCTCTGGAGACACACTGGCCTAGGTGGAGGGCAAGAGGACAGGGACGGCCTGGGTGTTTGTGTCCGCTTGGGGGATGGTGGGCATGGCTGCCGGGCACCGGGCCGGACCTGCCTGCCCTTCCCCAGGTGCTCACCGCCCAGCAGTTGCCCAAGCTGAACGCCGAGAAGCCCAGCTCCATCGTGGACCCCCTGGTGCGTGTGGAGGTCCATGGAGTCCCCGCAGACTGCGCACGGAAGGAGACCGGCCATGTGCTCAACAACGGTGGGAGCCGGGCAGGCGGGCAGGTGGGGCAGCAGAGGAGGGCAGCCGCCCTGACAGTGCACCCCTGCCAGGCTTCAACCCATGCTGGGGGCAGACACTACAGTTCCTGCTGCGGGCCCCGGAGCTGGCCCTGGTGCGCTTCGTGGTAGAGGACTACGACACCACCTCCCCCAACGACTTCGTGGGCCAGTTCACGCTGCCGCTCAGCAGCCTGAAGCAAGGTGGGCAGGGGCTGGGCGGCTCCCCACTGCGGCTAGGGAGCTGGGGCCCAGGACCTGACGTCCATCTGGGCCCACAGGGTACCGCCACATCCACCTGCTCTCGAGAGACGGGGCCCCGCTGTCCCCCGCCACACTCTTCGTCCACATCTGTGTCCAGCACTTCTGACAGCTGAAGACCCAGCCAGAGTTCTGGGGGCCCAGGCCACACCCAGCACCAAGCCCGGCCTTCCCCCAACCTGGAACTCCTGGGTGCCGTGCCTGCTGGCCTCCTGGGGCACAGACATGGGTGATCTGTGCCTGGCCAGCTGCTGCCTGGCTGCAAGGGCTCCAGCACCTCTGGTGCCCAGCCCCGCCCCGCACAGTGCCTTATGCAGGGCCTGCCGCAGGAACCTGTGGGCAGCACCCCTGCCCCGTCCTGCTGGAGCGCCAGGCCTTGGTCCCTCAGGCTCGCCCCGCAGGGAGGAAGCCCCAGGCGAGCCAGAAACCTGGCTATTGGTTGGCAACAGGGTCCCAGGAGAGCCCTGGGAGGGCAGTAGAGAAGCATCTGTTCTAACAGTAAAGGAGCCACTTTGCCTCACCCTGCACCTCTGTGAGCCTGAAGTCGGGTAGCCTCTTCCCAGCGCCTCGCCATGCCTGAGGCAGCCAGCGCTCAAAGCCTCCTCACAGGCTGAGGACGCCAGTTCACAAGGTCACGGGGTGGCCTGGAGGGGGCGATCTCCAAGGGACACCCAAGGACACCACCTTCACCACCCACCAGCCCTGGACAGCACAGTGTGACCATGCCAGCCCGAAGGGACTCCAGGGCATAACACTGGCATTTCAGGTTCCACAGGAACAGTGCCAGCCCTGGACAGGGCAACACAGGCTAGGCTCAGCCTGGAACTGGCCCCAGGGCTGGGCAGCGGCACCGCCGTGTGTAGGAAGTAACAGCTTCCTCCTGGGAGGGGCTTGGCTCTGACACCTTCGTGCTCAGAATCCCAGCCACCCCCCCATTGTCTGTTGGGCAGGGCTGGCAGGCAGGCAGGGCTGGCCTAGGTTCTGCTGGGTGTACACTGGGCTGGGTTGGGCCCATCCTTGCTCTGCTCCAGTGTGGCTGGCCTGGAGGACCAGGGCCTCCCGCCCTGTCTGAGTGGAGGCTGGGCGAAGTGTGTGTCAGCAGCAGAGTGCTCTGGGCAGGTCAGGCCACGGCCTCCGGTTTCCTGAAGGACTCAGAGGCACGGCCGTTGGGGGTGGAAGAGAGCCTGGGTCCAGGGTAGCGAGAAGTTCCAAAGGCCCACACGGGAGGGGGAGTGTCCAAGTGCAACAACAGGGGCCCAGCAATCCCCTCATTAAAGAACACCCCAGGAAGCTGGGGGAGGCTGCAGTCAGCACTGGGATAGCAGGGCAAGGCTCTGGGTTCCATCCCAGTGATGCCAAAAAAAAATCTGAACTGAAAACCCAGAAAGTGCCCTTGCGGCTCAGGGGAACCGCCCGGCTGGTGGGGCAGGAGAGGCTGTGGGGTCTGGCAGAGCAGCCCGCGTGGCGCCCAGCCTCCGGAGGAGCTGAACGGCCCCAGGAGGGGCCGCTGTGAACACAGGGCGAGTCCTGGGAAGAAGGCGGCCTTACCTGCTGAGCAGCGCAGTGCCAGGGCAGGAGCTTTGTCCAGCTGCTTCCTTTGTTAGAGCAGTGCGAGGTACTAAGTGGAACAACAGTGTGTTTGGTTTTTCCTCCTCGACCCTGGAAATGGACGTGCTGCAGCACAGAACGCCTTCCAGAAGCGGCACTGCCTGCCGTTCCTGGTGTTTCTGAGCCATGGGTGGGACTGGCGCTGCCCCTTTTCAAGGGCTGCCTGGCAAAGCCGAGCTTCAGTCTCCCCTGGTTCTAGGCCCCCAGACAACCCTGTCTTCTGCGCTGGCCTGACGCTGTCTCCCAGATGGTAGCTCTGGACAGTGTCCAAGGCCTTGGTTAAAGGCTGGTCCCCTTCAGGGAGAGAATTCAGGACCGCAGACCCCTGCTCCTGGGCTGCCGGGCAGCAGAAGGGAGGTGCACCTGGCTCTGTCCCTGCAGGTGTGTCCCTGCAGGTGGGGGCAGCATCTTAGTGCAGCTGCCAGGAGGCCTGATGGCAGAGGGGTGCCATAGTGGCTGCCCGAGGCTGGGCAGCCTGACTCTGGGCCGTCCCTCGCTGGTGCCGGCCTGCCACGGTGCTGCGGTCTGCAGGGCCCCTTGGGGAGTCCCAAGCACGCAGCGCTGCTCTGCAGCCAGGAAGAGCTGCGGGAAGAGCCAGGGAGAGTCTGAAGAGGATGGAGACCAACAGCAGACTGCTGCGGGGTCCCCCAGAACAGTCGGGGTGCAGGCTGCAGATCTGGGCAGTGGAGAGGGAGGTGCTGGGCTCCGCTTCTTCCCAAGCAGCCTGGGGCACACGGCACCCGTTTCACGGCCCCGCCAACCAGAGGAAAGCCTGCTCCAAGGGTTTGTGCACCCCGGATCTCAGCAGCATGTGGAGAGAGGCCCGGCTTGGACTGGTCAGGACCAAGGCAGGCTGTGCACAGCTCGATGCTGCCCAGGGTAGGGAAGACACGAGTGCTGTCCTGCGAGTGTCCTGTCGCCGCAGTCTGATGTCTGTGCGGGTGGGCGGGCCCCCCGCCACTCCGACTCTCCCGTCTGCAAGGCTCAGTGCGCTTCCTACCAAGAACACCGGCTTCTGTGCTCTGGGAGTCTGCAGTGGAGGAGTCAAGTGTTGGGGCCTGCAGTCAACACCCAAGACCACCGGGGGGCGAGGCCCATGAGGCCCCTGGTGCATCCGCCTGCATTCCCAGACGGCACAGTCCCGGCCCAAGCACACGACGTCCTCCAGCTCTGCGGACCGCAGAATCAGTCTCGGCAGAGCACGGTGAGCCTGCAGGCCGGTGCACACCCCTGGGGGAGGCACACCCAAGGAGGCTGAGCTGGCTGCGGTGGAGGCTTCCTTCCCGTCGAGAAGCAGGAGTGCAGCGCAGACCCCGGCCTGGTGCTGTCACCAGCTTGCACGAGAATGTGGGCCCCCCGGGCAGCTGGGCCAGACGCAGCTGAAGAATGGCTGTGTGGACAGCCACATGCCTGGGCTCGAGGGCCCGCGAAGCTGGCATAACCTCCATACAAGTTCACACAGCGGCATCAACGAAAGCCAGCCTCGGGCCGTGGCCACGTAAGCCTGTGCCTGCTGCCAAGTCCAGGGCTGCCCATCACCCCACTTCCTGGCAAGGAGCAAGGTGAGATGCACAGGGCTGAAGGCTCTGGCTCTGCTCTGCGCTGTGCGCTCAGAACTGGCATGGCGTCTCCAGGCGGGGTCCAGAAAGGCAAAACCTCCCAGGGCACAAGAGCCCTGGAATTGCGGGGCAGGACAGGTCCTGCAGGGACAGGCCGCCAGATGGAAGGGGCCTCAGTGGGACCCGTCTCAACCATCCCTGCCCAGGGCCACCTGCCCGGCACCCAGATGGGAGCCTACAGAGCCGCAGGTCCCTCCGCCTTCCCTCTTCCTAAAGCCAGCGTGCAGGGAGCTGTGGCCCTAGCTCCTGTCCTGCTCCAGACCACTGAGGGGTACCGGCACCACCTCCGCCCTTGGCTCCCGAACTTGAGGACGACGGGGGTCAGCTTGCGGTTGGAGACCAGGCCCCCTCGAACATTTGGGACATGAAAGGTATTTAAAATATTTATGTATATAATATATACTTTTATTATTCACCCGTTAACTCCACAATATGCCAATCACGAGCTAGTTTCAGCAGTTACATTCCCTTGAGCATGGCTGCATGAGGATGTGATTAACTGGAAAACGGAGACCAGACATGGCCCAAGGTGACGTCACGCAGCCCAGGCCACTGCAGTACAATCATCGAGCCCGCTGGCGTTTGGTAAAGCTGGTTCAGTTCCGCTCCCTTCCAGGGACTCTCAGGTCTGAGAGATTGGACCAAGTGGTGGGTTCCGTTGCTGGCTGGAATCCTCAGTGGCTTTATCCAGAATCTCATCGACAGCTGGTTACTGTAACACAAGCCCGACCTGGGAGAGCCAACGGGAGAGGCAGGGTGGGTAGATGGCACCCGGGACGCGCCCGCCCCTGGAGCCCACAGTTGGAGGGCTGAGCGGGAGAGGTGGCTAGCCAGGGCAGCTCAACTCCCACAGCCGCCTCCTGGCAGGCACCGTCCCACCCCAGCCACACAGCGGTCGGCTTCTGGGGAAAGCCGGATAATCAGGCTCTGACGAGTCTGGGGCCAGGCCCTTGGCCCGCTGCACAGCTCTTCGAGGAGCTGGACTGGCCCTTGGGAGCAATGGGGTCTCTCAGGCCCAGCACGTACCTTCTCAGCACCCATGCTGGGGCACTTCCAGTTGTACAGGTAATACTGCAGGTTGCCGTCCCCTATGCCAAACTTGAGCTTCTCCAGGAAGGTCTTGTTCTCCATGAGATCCAGCGCATTGAATACGTCGAACCCTTTCTGCAGGGCAGTGGGGAGAGGACAATGAGGACAGAGGCAGTCGCCTCGCTCTTGCCCCACCACTGCCACCCTAGACAGGCCTCCTGGGGCCCCTCCCTCGGCCTCTCCGGGGCACCCCGCCTGCTCCCGCTGCCCCACTCCCCTCCCAGGAGCCCCTGGGGATGGGCCTGGTCGGCCGCTCCTCTCCTTGGAGACTCGGCCCGCCACTGGCTCCTGGGAGACACGGTGATGTGGGGCACAGACCACCACTCCAGGCTGTGACCAGGGTATTCCCAAGGCTCCGACTGGAGTGGCAGCTCTTACAGGACACAGCCCAACACGCGTGCACACACACACACACCCGGCCATGCTGGCTCCTGGGGGGCTCCTGTGAGGGTGAGGCTCCCAGAGGCTTGCTGCCTCCCATCCCGAGGCCCAGGCTGTGGGACCCCGCCTGAGGGTGCCAGGCTTGACACCTCCCGAGCTGCACCCACCATGCCCACCCACCCCTGCCCGTTTCTGAGGTGCCTGCCCTCTCCTCACCATTTTGGCAAGAACAAGGGCATCACTCATGAGGTCCAGAAGAGGCGTCTGAGTGTGGACGTTGTAGAAGGAGTAAGCAGCTTTCAGGCTCTTGTGGGTCGGGTGGTTCATGATGGTGGAGGGAAGTGTGTAGAAGCTGAGGAAATCTGTCACCTCGCCGCGTGCACTCTGCGGGGGCGAGAGGCCGGGCAGTGTGGGCGGTGCGCAGCCCAGGACCGCTGTCCTCCATGCTTGTACCCGGCTGCTGTGCTCTCTGGCTGAGCAGCACATTGGGGGAGGCTCGGTGGCTCAGGGCCTTGGGGCAGAGCTAGGCGGGGCCGGGGTGGTGGGCAGGGCATCTGGCCACCTTCCCCGCTGGGCACTGCTGCTGCCCTCTTCTTCCTCTTTTGCTTTTTAGAAACCAGGCCTATGTCACCCAGAGTGGTTTTCAACTCATGGGCTTAAGTGACTTTCCTGCCTCTGCCTCCTGCGTAGCTGGCACTGCAGATGCGTGTGTTGTGCCATCTCGGGCCTCTCCTGTGGCGCACACCCTAGGCGCAACTCTGCTAAGCTGGACTCCTGGTGCAGAAGGCTTGAGGGCTCACCCAGGCCAGGCCAAGAGCACCTCTGCCG